CGGACGTGACCTCGGAGGTAGATACAATAATGTAACCCAAACCCAGGGGTAGGGCCCAAGCCCTTACCCCTGGGTTTGGGTTACATTATTGTATGTAATTTCGAGGTCACGTCCGGTGTACGAGTACACTTTTTTTTGACATCGGCTCTCAGCAAATCGACTCTCAGACTGTATATTTTGTTCGCACTACTTGACAATTACATGCCTGTGGCAGGTGCGACAGCAGTTTACCTGTGACTGTTATTTGTTGCACGAACGTGGATAACCACAATGATCACGATCAGGTAGGATATTCACCATTGCATGATAACATGAACACGAATAAATAAATAAATGAGTATTCGTAATTGAGTATATATGTTCGTGATAACTGAGATAAATATAACATTACCAATGATATAATCGATTAGCAAATTGTAGCTCTGGGTTGCTAAAAATTGAAACTAAAAATGTGAAAATAACTGCACACTTAGTTAAAGCCTGGTCTTAGACGCACATGAGACGTACATTTTACATATCTGAGACGTACATTTAACGGTGTCAAACTACACGACTGCACACTTGTCATAGACGAGCCACTGCTGACGACCACAAGGCAGTCTACGGCATCAATGAACACATCTACAACGATACTGACCCTCTGTCCGGTGAAAAGCTCTACCGACATCACCTGACACGTCCCTACAACTACGCATACATAGCAGAGTTAGACGGGAGAGCTGTAAGTACTCGCGTCATCTCATTGCACTGAATGACGTACCTTAAAACACCAACATTTTTAAGCAAATTCCACTCTATTAGAATGTTAGAGGATCGGTGAACGTTACCCACACTACTCGATATTTTATAACAGCATTTTAATTATGTTTGACGATTTAATGCGACTAGATTATGTTTGGTTCAATACATACAATTTAGTTTCTGTGGAAAATCAAAACTTTTCTCACTTTCTTCTAGGTTGCATTTGACCTGTTCACGATTCATGAAGCCAGTAAAACTCTGATCAACCGCTTTGCTAGAGTCTCTCCTGATAACCAGATTAAAAACCTCCATCGTCACTTGGTAGAACATGGCTTTAACGACGTCCTCTCTAAACACAGCGACGTCAAAGAAATAATATACTTGAAGGCGAACGAAGGACCAATTGCAAAACTGTGGCCAAATCACGCACTCATTGACATATTTGTAAGACTTAAAATTGAATGTTATATAGTATATACACTGCAGCTCAAATCATTCATGATTTTTCTCTTATATGAAAGTTTTATTAATAGTTGTTAATCTTTGTGAAAAATCTTACATTGCCTGTAATAAACTTGTTAAAACTGTGGCAGTATATGCAGTGTCAACGATAGGCGTTGTCACAGAGTAAGCCCATATATTATTAGACCTATAAATGATGTCATGATGATGACCTATACCATGTCTGATGATGTTCATACTGAAATCGCTTGATATTCCAAGATATACAGAGTGCATGATCATGTGAACAAACTGCAATAACTTGTTCTTTCAGTGGGAGTTATTCCTCTCTTCATTACAAACACCAATATTTAGAATCAAAGGTAATCATTTTATTTAGTCATCTTTCCAGCGCCTTTTCAATCATTTTTTAGCGGCCATTCCTGTTCGATTTTATACCTGCACGAGACTTGCTCACAGATGCCAACGGATAACTAGCTTGCTACCATGGAAACTGACTGAAAGCCAATAGCCAAGCCAGACAGTTGTGAGCTGCTCACATGTGTCCAGCATTGTGCAGACGGCCTACGGTCAGTGAACGAGTAACTTAATTGACCCAGATACCATACATGGACAGACCCCGGCAATTAAGCGTCATCATGCCGAGTAAACCCACATGTAATAAGTAGAGCTTTCACGGCCTATACCGTGAGTTTGGTTCTGTGCGCGCGTTTCTTGACCCGTAAAAATAGCGTGCACCATCAACAGTCTATATGCAAAGATGCGAGACGGTCATGTGCCTCATTCATACGACAAAGTAGCAGAGTCGGCGCGATTTCGCCGAAATATATATGAGAGCACATACTGGTTCAGAAAAAACTATACTTTTTCTCATGTTTTCAAACGTGTGTTTCACACTGGAACGTGCAAAAGTAATTAATGAGGCTATACAGGTGCTTGGACTAAGTCCTGTGAAATATGCTCATTACAACGATCTCATGTAATAAATGGAACGCGCATTTCACTACATGACACCACTGCCACACCTCTAGCGGATGGAATAGAAGTGATATCAATGGTATAATCGCTGTTATTTGGATATGCTATCAAATAACCGCATGATAATATTAGAAAAATAAAGTACTCAAGTGATCTAATATCTTATTAAAGTTTATACATGGCTTCTAAGCTTGAAATTAACACCCCAAGTTACACAAACTATTCCTGCTATAATTGTACACTAGTACTTAGCATAGTGATATTATTCGCGCACGATATATACGCTAAAGGATCTTAGTAACTTGTTCTAATATCTAGGCACCTGCAATATGTCACTTGTTTAAAATAAAAGACGTAGTTTATGTTTCTATTTACATGTTCATCTGTCTTCAGTCGTGACCGCCTACACACAAACACCCACGTACGCACGCAGACGTACACGCAACCCCGCACGTAGCAGCAGACGCACGCACAAACACATTACAGCTGCGCGGGCACACATGCACGCACCACGCACAGCATGCCCGCACGCACGGCACCCTTAACACACAGCACACACAGCACGCACGCACACGCACCACGCCATCACGGCACGCACGGCACGGCACGACACGCACGCACACACACACACACCACACACACACACACACACACACGTGCGCCGCACGATACACCCGCACGCGTTCGTAGTTAACGAAACTATGGCAGGAGTGATAAAACACACCTGTGTGTTTTATTTACTCCTGAACTATTCTCACTATTAATCCATGTGCTGGTTGCGTTATAAACATAAATCCAGACATACAAATACATTCTTACTACGCTCTTGATTAAATACGATAACAGTAATTAAATACAGTGAATGCCTCAGCATCTAGCTGGACTATGTGGCCAAATGGTCTTACACTTCACTCAAGAATAACTGATTTTTTCTGATACACGGGGCATGATAGCCATCTAGGCCACGATACTGCACTGCTAAACTATGTTAATAAATATATCAGGATCACGCTACTGATTGGATCGCGCAGGATTGTACTAGCTACTGATATATCATGAGTGCCAAAGAAATGAGATTCCTACGTTACTTTTCATTCACCAAGTTTACGTCCGTGGCGGGTATTATTACTCTGCCAATGGCGTTAGTTTCGCCTGGTTACAGTATTAGTTTGTTTGTTCTGTCACAGGATGTCTCAAAAAAGCTTAACGGAACGGATTTTGATGTATTTTTGTACTGGGTTGGTATTGGGCCATGCAATCGATTAGTCGATTTTGTGGTGATTCCAGACCAGATCTGGCATCAAATATTTTATGTAATGAAGACTTCAGACGCATTTCAAATTCATTCAAAAAAAAATCTGCGACTATATTTTTTCTTCCAAATTTCTGAAAATTTCATCAAATATATTGCGGTGTACCAGCAAGATGGGGGCCGCGGGACTGTTTACAGCTGTGCGGGGTCTGCCTACTCTCCGATCGCCTTGTTCATAAAGTTTACGCCATGGGGGTATTATTAGCTGCTTGGATATTTAGGCATAGTGATACAAACTCTGGGTCATAGTACAAGTACAGGGTCATAGTACATAAAGGGAGACTGCGCATTACAGCCGGCTAGTTGATACTTCGTGAAAATCCCCACATAAAAGTCATAGGAGGATCGAATATACGGCGCTAGATTTAGACGAAGTGTGTATCTGTATCATATATTGAGGTCACGTCCGCACAAAATTGTGTACGAATACACTAAATGGTTTACGAGGCCACATCGCAATCTAAGCCACAACCAGACTGTATATTTTGTTCGCACTACTGACATCACACGCTCGTGGCAAGTGCGACAGCAGTTTTACTCGCGACTGTTATTTGCCTTGCACGAACTGGTAACCACCCAATGATCACGATCAGGTAGGATATTCAGCATTGCATGATAACATGAATACGAAATAAATAAATAAACTAAATAAATAAATGAGTATATATATATATATATATATATATATTTGTGATAATAACTGAGATAAATATCCAGCGTGATGGTTAATGATTAGAAATTGTTGCTCTTGCGGTTCGCTTAAAATTTGAAACTAAAAAATAGTTGAAAATAACTGCAACACTATGTCACAAGGCGAGCCACTGCTCGACGCCACAAGGCAGTACTACGGCATCAATGAACGACATCTACAACGATACTTGACCTCTCCGCCGTGAAAAGCTCTACCGACTCACCTGACCGTCCTGACACTCACGCATTAATAGCCGAGATAGACGGGAGAGGGTTACATTTCGCGGCCGATCCTCATTGACTGAATTACCCAATTATTTAGATACACTTTACGGTAGCAGCTCCGTCAATCACATCATTCATGGCAGTCTGCGACACAAATTGCGCTAGAGCCATTATTTAAATCTATAATCATCGAAACGAGTTGAATTAACGTATAAAGCTTTGTTTGCGTCTTAAAACCTTATCCCATTCCTTCTAGCGTTGCTTTTGACATGTACATCGATTCATGCAAGCCGAGAAAACCTGATCGCCGC